GCATATCCTGCCTTTACTATTAGATCTCACTTACCTAAAGGAAGAATTCGCAATGTTCGTGAACTCACAGAAAATCAAAGGTTTGGGGGTATAATGTTCCCCAACTATGGCGCAGGCTTAGCTATGTCTGAAATAAAGAAAGTTGCAGTATCCCTAGAGAAAATAGCTAATGCTACTGCCATTGGTTTTCATGAAATAAGTAAAGAAATGAAAGAAATGAGACAAATGACTCTACAAAACAGACTCGCCTTAGATTATATATTAGCTAGCAAAAGAGGTGTGTGTCCTTTGATAAAAACAGAATGCTGCATTTATATACCAGATGCTTCTAGTGCTATTGAGAACCAGGCCGAAATTATTGAGAAAGAAGCTGCTAAACTACAACAAACCGATCAATGGAGTCTTTGGGACTGGTTTGGCGGACTTGGAGCCAAATTATTTTATATCACAATCATGGTCCTCAGGTTTGTTCTCTTCCTACAAGTACTCCTTTTGTTGCTACGCAATTGTAACCTTAGTGCATCCCGCAAAAGATGCAACAGATATGTCTAACGTGATGCAGGGTCAATTGAGATTAGTCTCACAGTTGTTCCGAAAGGAGCACTGGAAGATACTCTGCCTAAGAGCAAGTTTCACTGTGCCTCGAAGGATGCATGAGTCAGACTGTTCTCCCATTAGCTCACTTGCAGTCTGTTGCCCAACACATGGTTACAAAATCTCATTGGTTGTACTGTAAGTACAAAAGTGGGGAATGTGGAAGAAGAAAACCCTAGGCCTTAATTTCTGCTGACTTCTTTCAGCTAGTGCTTGCCTTTTCCCGCCTATTTTGCAATCTGCTCTTTCCCCCGCCCTTTTCCCTTGTTGAGCTGAGTAGGCCTATGAGGTCAATAGGTCAAACCAGTTTACGCCCTCTTGCAGCTTTCTGGTCCAAAACAGTTTTTTGTTTGACTTGAAATATCTTGCATCATGTGACCTGAATTGAAACATAAAAGCTTGCTTTAACTGTCTGTTGGGGGGACATGTGGAACTGATAAGAGGAAGCTCTGTCTGTTCAGTGTCCTCCCCTGCAGCTGCTTGTATAATAAAAAGTCTCTGACAACTTCAAAACCAAACAACAAAGTGAAGCTTGTTTCTTCCACACCAGGAGCAATAAACTCTGAAGTGATGTGCACCGGTGTTTATTATGTCTCATTAATTGCATGTATAGATGTGCCCACTGACTTCAAAAAGAACAGAAGCAGACTGTCTATACAGCTTCTAAAAATCTTACATTTGAACAGCTCACAGGGCAGGTGAGGTTGTCTGGAATCTCTCTGCTTTCAATCCAAAAAATGCACCTGGAGGAGTCTGAGGCATGACAGTCTTTTCCAGTACTCTGTATGAAATACTCTCTCTTCAGCCTGCCCTTCTGAAGCCCTCAGCTGCTGTGTTCTGCATATGGTACAGGGCCTTTCTTAATAGACAATTTCCATTCTTCCCATGTTTTATTTTCCCCTTCTCTCCTCCCTCTTCTATCACCTACTCTGTTGTTTGGCTCATTTTTTCCTGCGTTTTGCACCTGGGTCAGCCTAGTTTGAAAGCAAAAGAATTGTATCATATTCTTAACCCTGTCCAAGATATATGACTAGGAGATGGAGTCTTAACCAAAACAAAAACTGAAGCAAACACAGTATACCTGGGATGTCAGCTTTACTACAAAGCAGATGGAGGTTCTGCCACAATCACAGCTCATACCTTCCCCTCACTATGTGAGGTAGCAGGCAGAGTACACGTGATCAATGTGCTGGATGCCAAAGAAGGAAAAAGAGAAAGTTGAATCCTTGTACTTGAACTGCAGGAAAACTAGAGTCCTGACTGTGTTACATTTGGGTCACTTACCTCAGCAGCTGTAATTTTCAGATGAATGCAGCTTTCATTCAAGAGGGCTGATAATGAGGCAAATCCAGGTACGAAGACTGGATTTTCAACAGACTGGCTGCAGGAAGATTTGGGAGAGTCTGAGCTGAGATTCTGTATCCTTGAATACCATGAAATCCATCCCCAGAGGAGCTCTGTTCATTCTCTCTCGAGATTTGGAAGAAAAGCTAGGCTTGACCTTCCTCTATTTACAACAACCAGCCATAGCCCATCAGAGAACAGGGTCCCAACAGCCACAGCTTCTACAGTATCAAGGCTGAAGTAGCACTGAGTGGCCTGGGAAAGCTGCAATGTCCTTTTCCTCATTCTAACCCCAGGAAGCACCTTGCTTATTTCAGGTAGGGTGTGGGGAGGAAGATTTGTCTTGACCTGTTTTTATGAGACTGAGAGGACTCACGTGCCAGGCCAACAAATTTAACCAATGTCCCATTCAAGTGAGCAGACACTTTAAGAGCAGCATCCCAAATTCTGCGGATAAAAGCTGGGACTCTGACACAGTAAACATTTTATTGTTAAAAAAGCATAAAAACTAATGACATGCTTCCAAGAATTAGATTCTATATTTACATCTGCCCTCCCCAGGAGGCTGCACGGAGTTTAGCCTTCATCCCTTACAACAAACACATGCACCCCTGCACGGGCTTTGTGGTAAAACAATACTCCTTGTTACGTGTTATTTTTTCACCTATACCCTGGGTTTTCTTGTAAACTGGATTTAAAAATTGAGATTATCTGGTGTATAAGATGATGCACATCATACTAATGACTGAGTTACTGTTCAATACTTCTGGGAGGCATCGCTAGGGCATTGTTACTTTTGGGTTTCAGTTTAAGTAGATTTAAAAATATGACACAGAAAAGCTCCAGCCAAACCCTCAGATCCAAACTACCCCAAGCTTTGAGTGCTCTAAACCAGGGGATGTCAACCGGGGGTATGCATACCTCCAGGGGTACTTGAGAAGGCCCAGAGGGTACACGCGGATGGGCAGGGACAGAGCACCACCATGCATCATCCTGCTCTGTCATGCAGGCACCACCCACCCAGCTGGACACAGGGGGCAAGGGAAGCTCACATGCAGCAGCTGCTGCTGCTCCGCATTCAGCCACGGGCAACCCGACCTCCTTCCCCCCCGGCATCTGGCTGCCAGGGGTACATTGCTCCATGTCTGGCTGCTGGGGATACACTGATCCAAAAAGGTTGAAAACTCCTGATCTAAACCAGCAGTCAGCAATGTTTCAGAAATGCAGGCCAGAATGACCTGGCGTGCGTCTGAAGTGGGCTGGTGTTCCCACCTGATCAATGCCATTGCTTTTCCCCAACACCTTGCTGTGGCACTGGTGCAGGTCCCAGCTGCCCAACCCCAGTGCAGCTCCCTGCTGCCTGGTCCCAGCATGCCGCTGAAGCCCCCTGGATTCGTGGACTATATGTTGCTGATCCCGGCTCTAAAAATTGATTCAAAGTAGATCCAAATTTTGGAGTCTATCCCCATCTTTATAATGGGCTGAATGAAAATCTCAGACACCAAAGTTTGGACTGTTCACTTTCTAGATCTGCATTCAAATTATGCATCTTGCTTCCACCATTATCAAGTCATTAAAAATATAAACTGAATTTTGCAGCATTCATTCCCAGGGAAGAGCAACATAGAACCTTAAGTCACATGAACCTGTGGAAGTCTTCAGAATGCTGGAAATTAAGAGAAAAAAATCAAGGCCTAGTAAACATTCAGATAACCCGGGTAAGGTGTACTGCAATTTCCCTGCAAGTATTGGGAAATGCTGCACAAAAACACTCACTGATTTACATTAAAATATTAAATTATTAAAAACATACATAAACCCTTCGCAGTTATAATGGTCAGACATGCCAATTTGAGGGAAGAAAACCTCATAGTTAAAATACAACTTTCTCCCTGCCTTGATGTTTGCAGTGATACTTGTGAATGCTCCAGTGTCGGGCTGATCTTTTACAAGATGCCAGAAGTCAGGAACGCCAGTGGTTCTCAAATATTTTTCATACTGAGGACTACTTTTTAGATAGAGCTCTCCCCCTTGTTGGCCCCTTTCCCACCAACATTGATCCCACACCTACTCTTCTGTGCCTTCAGTGTTTGGTGATGTGAAAAAATAATCAGGCAGTTAAAAAGAAGATATTTATCTATTCTCCTTTAAAAGCAAATGCTGGAGCCTGCTCCTACTGAAGTCCACACTTGCTTACAGACCCTCATTCTCTCTTTCCACTGTTTCTTTCCTCATCCTGAGTGTAGCACTTTACATTCATTAGTACCGTTTCCCCCACTGCTGCCAGCCCCACTCTGCACTACTCTCATTAGATTCCTTTGCAGTTGGATTCTGTTGTCATGCATGCCAGACCCCCAACTTCCTTTTTTAATCTCAGCTGAAAGTTTGACCAGGGCTAAAATTAACAGGCGCACTGGGTAGAGAAAAGGGCTGGCTTTTTGTTGGTTTCAATTTAGTTGCTCACAAATGCGCCAGGAAAATCTTAGAGAGCCCTGGACTGGGCTGTGTCTAGCAACAAGTGTCACTGCTTGAAAATGCCAGATGTTTAATGTCTTGGCTGGATAGAAACAGCTCTGCAGAACACAGTTTGAGAACCACTGAGGTAGGTGACAGGTCTAGACAGTACTGCTGAGTGAACACAAGGGGGCTTTTTTTCCCTTATGTCCTGAATGACCGTGTAAATTGCTAGTGCTTCTAGATGTACCAGTCCCAAACTCACACAACTGGAGTGGAAAAAAAACACCCACAAAGTAGTGAGCACTGGTTGACTAGCAGGTACAGTACACTCTGTTCCAGCAGCCAATGAGAATTAGCTGAAAACAAGCTCTCATTGGCTGCCATTGCTCTGAAACCACTCCCATCTGATGTGATCAACCTTTAATCCTACCCCCACATATCCAGAGGGTGAGTATGATTTGTGATCTTCCTGAGCTGTCCACAACTACAGCTCAAACAGATACTGGCAACTTGTGCTCCTTAGAAGCATCCCACCACTGGCTTTATAAAGCAGTGCAACATGGTAATACAGCTGCATACATCCCTTCTTGGGGAAATGGAGTGTCTTTTTTTTTTTTTTTTTTTTTTTTTTTTACAGGCTAACAACTCTTTTCTCCTTCCATCTCCAGCTCATGCAGAAGGCTCCTGGCCTCCCCTTCAGCTGCATCTGAATGTCTTTCACTTTCAGCATCATTCCCAAGGCACAGAGGGCTCATGATGTAACGGTAGTTACTAGTGACAGCAGCAGCTGCTCCAGCAACATTCTCTTCATTGTCCAAATCTCCAAATGAAGTGTGCAGGGCAGGGTCACACCCAGAAGCCTCTTTGTCTGTCCCAATGTTGACATACAGAGGATCTTGACTGGAAGAGAGTGTAGACATTCTCCCCCGAATCATTTCCAGCTGTAATTTCAGCATTGCAAAGCTAGGTCTGAACTTGGGCTCAGGATGCCAGCATCTGCACATGAGATCATAGCTGCAATGCAAACAAAATAAAAGAGAGCTGAAAAGTATAGAAGCCATCTGCCTCCATTCTTAAAGAGAGTCTGTGTTCAATGTAGACTGCCCACTAGTAGAGATTAGGAGCACTATCAGCAAACAAACACAATCCAATTCTTCACTCAGTGGCAGGTATGCAAATACAGTTTAGGGCTTCATCACACCTCTAATGCACTGGGCCATGGTACAGTGATACAATTCTGCCTTATCTCCATGAAAGCCCTGAGGAGAATTCTGATATACAACCAAAAATCTCTGTAGGCAAAATGAATCCCCAAGCAGCCAGATCTACAGAGGAGCCACTCAAAATTCGAAAGAGAAGGTTCACAGAATTTCTCTGGGCAGAGTTTGGGTTAAGTGGATCAAAGACAGGGTGATGATGAAGGGAATATTTTAGCTTTGGTGTGTTAAGAGTCTTAGTATGGTTATTTGTTCAATTTGAATCATAGGTATTTTTTAAAAACTAGGCTGGATGTGTCACTACAGCATTGGAGCTATTTAGACATGTGCATTTTTGTCAATTGACAACTACAATTAAAACAAAAAACCCCACAAAACACTGTTCTCCAGAATCTAAGACAAAGGCCATTCTGCTCAAGTTTTATACAGGGTAAGAGAACATGGCTTCTAATTTGAGGAAGAAAATCAAATTCTAAGTCTCCTGACCTGTTCCAAATTGTTTGCATTTTAAACAAAACAATTGCTGAGAAGAAGCGGGTTATTTATGGTGCTTAAAACAAAATGAAAAAGGCCAATCAGACATAGGTGTTTTTTAATTAAAGTTTCATTTACTGATACTGATTGGCACAAACCAAGTGGAACAGTTAGTAACAGATTTTTTATCTGTTAATCTGGTCACTAAAATGGGCATGTTTTATTATCTCAGCAATGGATAAGAAACATTATCATTCCAAATTCTGATCTAATGCAGATGAAACTGTGAGAAAACAACAGAAGCCATGCTTTTAGAAGGCATGAGTTATTTCTAGTAAGAATAATAGAAGGTTCTCTCTAAATGCAGGATGTAGTCATGAAGGCCAAAGCACAATTGGAGTTGCAACTAGCAAGGGATGCAAAGGGTAATGAGAGGTTTCTACAAGTATGTCAGTAACAAGAAGAATATCAGGGAAAGTGAGAGTCCCTTACTGAATGGGGGAGGTAACCTTGTGACAGAGGATACAGAAAAAGCTGTAGTACTCAATGCCTTTTTCACCTTAGTCTTCACAGGCAAGGTCAGCTCCTACACTATTGCAACTGGCAGCAGAGTTTAGGGAGGAGGTAAGCAACCCTCAGTGGTGAAAGAACAGGTTAGGGACTACTTAGAAAAGCTGGACACATACAAGTCCATGGGGCTGAATGGGATGCACCTGAGGGTGCTGAGGGAGTTGGCTGATGTGACTGGAGAGCCACTGGCCATCATCTTTGAAAACTCATGGCTATCAGGAGAGATCCCAGATGACTGGAAAAGGGCAAACATAGTGCCCATATTTAAGAAAGGGAAAAAGGAGAATCCAGGGAACTACAGACCGGTCAGCCTCACCTCAGTCCCTAGAAAAATCATGGAGCAGATCCTCAAGGAATCCATTTCTAAGCAGTTGGAGGAGAAGATAATGATTAGGAACAGTCAGCATGGATTCACCATGGGCAAGTCATGCCTGACCAACCTAATTGCCTTCTATGATCAGACGACTGGCTCTGTGGATGCGGAGAGACCACTGGATATGCTATACCTTGACTTTAGCAATGCTTTTGATATGGTCTCCCACAACATTCTCGCAGGCAAGATGAGGAAGTATGGGCTGGATGAATGGACTGTAAGGTGGATAGGAAATTGACTGGATCATTGGGTTCAGAAGGTAGTAATCAATGACTTTATGTCTAGTTGGCAGCTGGTATCAAATGGAGTGCCCCAGGGGTTATTCCTGGGGCTGGTTCTGTTCACTGTCTTCATCAACAACCTGGAAGATGGCATAGAGTGCACCCTCAGTAAGTCTGCAGATGATACCATGCTAGGGGGAGTACTAGATACACTGAAGGGTAGTGCTAGGATTCAGAGAGACCTAGACAAATTGGAAGATTGGGCCAAAAGGAATCTCATTAGGTTCAACAAAGACAAGTGCAAGGTCCTACACTTAGGATGAAAGAATCCCATGCACCAGTTCAGGGTGGGGACTAATTGGCTAGGCAGTAGCTCTGCAGAAACAGACTTGGGGGTTACAGTGGATAATAACCTGAATATCAGCCAGCGGTGTGCCCTTATTGCCAAGGCGGCTAATGGCATACTGGGCTGCACTGGTAGGAGTCGACAACTAGATCTCAACAGGTTACAGAGATGGGTGGATGAAAATAGGATGGGTTTCAATACAGACAAGTGCAAGGTGTTGCACCAGGGGAGGAAGAACCAGCAGCATACTTACAGGCTGGGGAACTCCCTTCTTGTCAGCACAGAGGCAGAGAAGGATCTTGGAATCGCTACTGATTCCAAGATGAACATGGGCCACCAATGTGGGGACGTGGTCAGGAAGGCTAACCGCACTTTGTCATGCATCCATTGATGCAACACGAGCAGGTCCAAGGAGGTGATCCTCCCCTTCTATGCGACACTGGTCAGGCCACAGTTGGAGTACTGTGTCCAGTTCTGGGAGCCGCATTTCAGGAGGGCTGTGGACCACATCAAGAGGGTCCAAAGGAGGGCCATTCACATGATAAAGGGGCAGCAGGGCAGGCCCTACGAGGAGAGGGTACGGGACCTGAACCTGTTCAGCCTCCACAAAAGAAGGCTGAGAGGGGATCTGGTGGCCACCTATAAACTTGCCAAGGGGGACCAGCAGGCAATGGGAGAGTCCCTGTTCCCCCAAGCACTACCGGGGGTAACAAGGAACAACAGCCATAAGTTGACTGCGAGTAGATTCAGGTTAGATATCAGGAGGCACTACTTCACTGTCAGGGCAGCTAGGAGATGGAACCAATTTCCAAATGAAGTGGTGCTTGCCCCTACACTGGGGGTCTTCAAAAGGAGGCTAGACAGCCACCTAGCTGGGGTCATTTGACCCCAACATCCTTTCCTACCAATGGCAGGGGGTCGGACTAGATGATCTGCTTAGGTCCCTTCCGACCCTACCAACTATGAAACTATGAGTGCTGCCAGCAGGGTGAGGAAAGTGCTCTATTTGGGACTGATGAGGCCAAATCTGGAGTACTGTGTTCAATTTGGGGCTCCCCACTACAGAAAGGATGTGGACAAATTGGAGAGAATCCAGTGGAGGGCAACTAAAATAGTGAGGGGGCTGGAGGACATGACTTATGAGGAGAGGCTGAGGGAACTGGGCTTAGTCTAGAGAAGAGAAGACTGAGAGGGGATTTAATAGCAGCCTTCAACTACCTGATGAGGGGTTCAAAAGAGGATGGAGCTAGACTGTTCTCAGTGGCGGCAGATGACAGAACAAGGAGCAACGGTTTCAAGTTGCAGCAAGGGAAGTTTATATTAGATATTAGGAAGAATTTTCTCACTAGGAGGGTAGTAAAACATTGGAACAGATTATCCAGAGAGGTGGTGGAGCCTCCATCCTTGGAGGTTTTTAAGACCCAGCTAGACAAAGCCTTGGCTGAGATGATCTAGCTGGGGATGGTCCTGGCTTTGAGCAGGGGGTTGATCTAGATGACCCCCCTGAGGTCCCTTCCAACCCTAATTTTCTATGATTTTGTTTCAGAGGGATGTGAAGAAATCGGCAGAGTCCTTACTGTTGGAATAACCAAGCTGAAAATGGCCTTTCTATTCTAGACACTCTGCAACTACGAAGAGAAGTTCCTCAAGTCATTTATCAGCCACAGTAGCACTCATGATTTTTTGAAGTTGAATGTGGATTAAACTTCGGTTACTGCAGCCAAAGTCATTTGAATATTGGTGTGGATTAAAGTCATTGGCACAATAATTGGGGAGTGGGAGCTATCAGCTCTACTCTGCTTCAGCAAGCAAATCTCTGACAGTTCACTAGCTGAATTACCATATGTTTGCCCTCCATCCTGCTATGCCTCTCCTGGCACTCGTTTAGCTAGAGTACAGCCAATTCTATTGTTCTCTTTTCTCCCTGTGCATCATCCACAAAATTGGCATTTAAATTTCTATCCCTTTATTGTTGCCAATCCTGCAGGAAAAGGGAACAAAGTGTTATCTTAAAGTGCTGGCAGTGAAAGCCGACACAAACACAAACCAACCTAGTTTAGAGCTGCAGACTGAGCAAATTTGATAGCGTGTTCATCGAAGAAAAAGGACCTAGCATTGTCTGAAGTATGGCAATTTTTACTTGACCAAATCCTGACTACTTTTTATTGTTCTTTATTCTGTAGCACCAGATTATGTATATTTTCTGGGTTTGTTGTCTAAGTTAAACAATGGTATCTACAAAGGTGAAACAATGCATGGAAAGAATTTTAAAAAAGTAATCTGCCAAGAGGACTAGGAAGAATTACTTGTTCATTAACAAGTGCCTAGAGCCTTATGTGGAAAAGAGAGATCCCATTAGATCTGTGTGAGGGGGTAGGTTTCACAAGCACCATCAAAATATCTTCTGATTTGGGGTTCGTGATGGGCTGGTCCATCAAAAAGACATGGATAAGTAAAGGGGTAGCTGGCAAAGGGATTTAATGGCCGCATAACTATTTATAAAGCACAAATGGGGAAATAAAAAACAACTTTGGGAATTACTCAGCAGAGAGGGTTTCTTATTTCCTTTTCTTAAATGCTTTTCTTCTGAATTAATAGGCAATTATCTTTGGAAAAATACTGGAGGAATTCAAGTTGCAGAGGAAGACAGCTGTGCTTGTGGTCAGCTGTTAGACTAGTTTGAGTGAGGTGGAAGGTACTGAATTTTAGGGGTGAAGCACTGCTCCAATGTAGAATACCCAACCCAACTTGTTATACATTAGGTCTGCTCGGAGACTCACTTCCCCCAATGCTCTGCCTGATTATTATCTAGCCAAACTTTAGGGCATGGCTGGAGGCCCACATTGTTTCTTAGCCATTGACAAAGAGGAGGTAAGGAGGAGTGAGTTTCTGAGACCATAGCTAGTTTCTCAAGAAGTCAGAGACCTCATCAGAGGTCTGAAACTGTGGTCAGAGACTACAGTTTCACAAGAGATCTGAATATTTTGCAAGAGGAATAGAATATCAGCACATTAGAGTGCTGATATTGTTTAAGCTCTTGGGCCAAAGTAGGTGTCAATGTATATACCCTGATCTCAGTTGAGTTATACAAGTAGGAAAACTGGTGCCTTGCTTTTATGGTAGCAGCAACCCAAGTTTAACTTTCTAGTGGGTGCCATTAAATATTAAAAATAAATAAAATCTGATCAGAAGCCCAGCCAGCTGCCTCCGTCTGTCTGCCTGTCTCCATTAAGCATGGCTTATTTGGCTCTATCTTTTATTGGACCAACTACAGAGTGGGAAACATGTTAGACAAGCTTTTGGGCACAAAATGCCCTTCTTCTGGTCTGGAAAAGAAGCAAATAGGCTGTATCTACTGTCTGACATATCTCCCAACTCTATAGTTGGTCCAGTAAAAAAGGATAGTACCAAACACACCTTACTTCTCACATATTGCCCAGGCCATCATGGCTATAACAACACTATGGCCCTACTCCCATCACTGTTCAGACAAAATCCACTATGGGAATCAAAAGAAAGCATGGGGAAAATTACTCACACATCTTCCAGGCACTCCGGGGGCTGCTTCAGCCTGTTTCCGCTGATGAGGTAGTTGTAGATTTCTGCATTCTCAATGCCTGCATATGGAGTCTGTCCTCGGGTCACAATCTCCCACATGGTCACACCAAATGCCCACTGAAATGGAACAGCAAGCAAAGCTAGCAAACAAACTTCTCTGTTTGCCAAAGCAGGGAACCTTCCTTTTCAAATTATTTTTATTACTTAATTAGCTTAATGTCCTGAGCCAGATCCTGGAGAGAGACAGGTATAAATGGAAACAGAATTTGGTCCACAAGCTGAAGATGATGCAGGTAACAAGGCATTTTTGGCTCGTGTTAGCTTGCCCTTAACAGCATAACACATGCCAATGAAAACAGGGGAGCAGTAGTATATCATCTCCCATGCACTCTTCACACGTGGTAGTAGGCACACACTTCCAGTATGATTTTCATACACTGCAGTACATGTATGCAGGGACGAAAGAGCTAAGTCTAAACTAAAGATACTGGAGACAGAGGTGTAACTGGAAAGGTTTACACCCTGGGCCAAACCTACTGTAGGGATCAGAGTTGAGGGCAGCAGGGTTCAAGGCAGACCTATCTACTGCAGGGCGGGGTGGGGGGGTGTCAGTGTGGTCAGCAGCTAGAGAGTTAAAAGAGCAACTGCTGAGCAAGAGACCCTCTTGTGGCTGCCACCAAATTTTGTCATCAGTGCTGATCACCAAAGGCAAACTGAGCTGCAAAAAACCTGACAGCTGGAGTAGGGCTAACGCAACACCTGGCAGCTGGTCTGTTAACCTCCACACTGTCCCCCATGCCAACACCTCCTGCCAGCAGCATTCTGGTGCCCCCTCTAAGTCTGTGCCTGGGGCTCTGCTTGTCGATGCCAAGTTATGCTGACTGGACATATCATCTTAATTATCTAATTAAGTTAATTAGATATGTTGTGTCTAATGAGGTATGTTCCTCAGGAGAAATATCCCATTCAGATGTGTCTGAGCATCAATCATTGTACAATGTATATGTGGGCTGCACCTTGCACCATGCAATTTTGTAGCCAGACTTCAAGGTAATGTATTTACTCAAATCCAAGATGAGGTTTTTTCCTCCAACCAGCATGGGGAAAAATGCCTCATCTTGAATTCGAGTACCAGCCTGCAATAAGCAGCAGCTCAGCTTGGGGCTGAAGCCGGAGCTGAGAACAAGGGAGACTGAGGGGGATGGGGAGAGGGAGGAATGGGGGAGCATAGAGAAGACCATGCAGCCTGCCTGCCCTTACCTTCTGCTCCAGCTGTGGTTCCTCCAGGCCTAACCCAGTCCAGCTGGGAGCTACCACTGCTTCTCCCTGGCCAGGCTAGGATGGGGCTGAGCTGGGGCTATTACTGCTGCTGACTGCCCCAAAGCCAGACTCCCCCCACCCCACAGCCCCACACACACACACAGTTGCTGTCCCTGCCACAGCAGTAGAGGGATAAATTTAAGATGATCTTCCAGTAATTAGATTCTATACATGGAAAATTATACATTTATAATCTTCCTTGTATAGAATCAAATTATTGGGAGGTCATTTTAAATTTTAGGATTGAGGTAAATACAGTATTGTTAGCCTCCTCTTAAGAGGCAGGGTGAAGAACTGGTAATTAGGAGTGCAAGTTCACAAGCCAAAGCAGAAAACAGTAGGAATCCAAATCAGAGGGGATCTAGGCAGAGAAAGGAGAGAACCAGAAGATAGGTCCAGAGGAAAGGGAGATGAGTTCCAGATGAACATGCTTGTCCTAACCTGCTCAGTGAAATGGAATGAGGATGAGTATCTCTAGAACAAGATGACTTTTTGGGCTGTATTCTATTTGAATTAGGTGCCTAATTGTGATTCTATTCTACCTTGCCTGAGACCCTGAAAATCCATTAGAGCATCTTCTTTTCTAATAATTGCTATCTTACCTTTAAGATGAGTCACAAAAAAGGCAGCAATAAGTATTGTGATAGCCCTTCCCAACATTGCCCTCTGAAGGGTGAACTATTATTGGCACACTTGCTCAAGTGTGCGTGTGTGTGCATATGAGAGAGAATGAGAGAAATTACTTCACCTTCCTGTCACAATGGAAGACAGAAAAAATGGAAAAGAACAACAGTGTGAAAGAAACAGAGAAGAGAAGGAAGGCAAAGAAAGAAAGACAAAAGGTTGGGAAGGAGACAAAGGATGAGAAATAAAGATATGTAAAAGTATCACTTGACAAAAAGATTCATGACATGCATATATGAAGAATAAACTACTCCCCCTCCAATTTAGAAATATCTCTTGCATTTCTCAAGTTTGGAGAGCATCTCAGCCACAATGCAAAGAAGGACCTGTCCCTTCATACAAAGAGTTGTCACATTCACACAATGCTCTCTCATCACCAAGGACCTGACCCAATGCACGATAAAGTCAACTGTAAGATTCCCACTGGCTTTTAGAGGACACCCAAAATCAAAACTCACCACGTCACTGTGTGTTGTGTAAAGATTATCCGCGAGGCTCTCCAGTGCAAGCCACTTCACAGGCAGCTTGGAGGCACAGCCTTGGCGGTAATAGTCTCCACTGTAAATTTTCTTAGACAGTCCAAAGTCTGCAACACTTACATTCATATTTTCATCCAACCTAAGAGAAAATGCAAACAAGTAAACTGGAATCTGCGGGTTATACCAAGCAACTGGGCACTGGATGGCTCAGGGAAGTAACAATAAGGTCAGGGGCAGACAAAATATGGCCCACCAGGCCATTCTATCCAGCCTGCAAGGCCCCTCAAAATTTTAATAAATTAATATGTACTACCTCCCGGCTTTGTGTGAAAGCAGACAGGAGCCAGAGGCAGTAGGACCCAGAGGGAGCCTGAGCAGGCTTGAATAGCCCAGCCCCTCCCTACCCACAGCCAGTTCCCCGCTTTCCTTCCCCAGCCCTGCTCCAGCACCAGGTGGCTCCCAGCTGCATCGCTGGACTGTGAAGCATGGGACCGCACTGTTAAGTGCTCGTGCAGGCTGAGAGAGGAACGTCTGTGCGTGCAGGCTCAGGGCAGAGTCTGTGTGCACGTGTTCATAGGGCGAGTCCCACATGTACACCTCACCATACACATGCACCCACACCACCCTTGCACTGCCATACACAAACCCCAGCTACCCTCCCCTACTTACAGCCCTCCGCAGACCCATACGCACCCACACCCCACATATCCACACACACCCATATGCTCCCTCACCCCACATGCACACACCCCACAGCCCCCCACAATCCTATACCCCCCCAACATACAAGAGTAAGACTTCATTTTAAGCTATTGTGCAATCATCTCTATGTACACTACACAAGCAGATGTAAATCAGGAGAAAAATATTTTTTGAAATCAAATTCATGAATGCTGTAGATGTTCGCTTTTTAGAAGATACAGCAAAAGCTTTGTTATCTAGCACCCATGGGGAATGGGGGGTGCTGGATAACAAAATATGCCAGTTAATTGAGAGGCCTGAACAAGCGTCTTTGCCTGTTCGGGCAGCTGCTTCTCCCGCCGTGTCCGGGGCGTCACTGCCCCTCCCACCGCGTTGCCTACCCTCCCATGGGCCCTGAGGGACAGGGAGGTGGGTCCCATGCAGCCTGCTATGCCCTGGGCTGTGGGGGCTTGGCAGGGCAGGGTGGCTTGCCCCCGGCGGGCGGGGGGTCCGCGCTCAGCAAAACCAGAAGTGCCACAGTGGGCGCCTCCAGTTTCGCTTTTCCCTTACAAGCTGGCATGCCAGTTAATAGAACATGCCAGCTTGTAAGGTGCCAGTTAAGGCAGCTTTTACTGTAATATGGTATTTTTCTGGTTCCGAGATGGCAAAACCCCTTGCTGAAAGGAGTACTTCTGGAGGCAAGGCGAGGGACTTCTGGTGGCAAAGGTCAGGGGTTAGGGAGTGGGACTTCTGGTCACAAGATGGCAACCAGGGGGCGGAGCACCTGTCAAGGGGCGGGGCTACCCATGCGGCCCTCGACAGCTTTCCAAAACACGGTAACAAAATAACTGCCCGCCCCTGAATAAGATATAGAGCCTTTCAAATCCAGTTCATCAACAGGTATGGCTCAGGTGGGTGGTGGTGACTAAGTCATCCCTGCCTCTTGACTATTTGGGGGCCAATGTGAAACTATATTTGGTGGCCTCTATCCAGGGAAATTACTGGAGCACTGGCAGTGAAGATGCAGAGTAACTTCAACTAAAGAGGTCTCACCGAGGAACATCTCCCCTGTCTCCCAGGGCATTCAAGTTTCTGCTGCACAATTAGTTTTTAAGGTATGCAGGTGCAAAAAGATGTAGATAGGAACCTTAAAAAATTCCCTTTGATTTCCCCTTTAAGAACCTCATTTAACACCTAACCTAAATGCATTTTTCAACTGTTTCAAAAATCTGGTCTTGCGTCTCATTCAGTTTCACTGGCCAGAGGTGGTTTTGTTTATATATGCATGAAGAATTCTATTAGAACATAGTTTGGCTCCAATCTTTGCTCCTTCCCAAGAGAGAAGAAATGAGCAGGAATATCCTCCCCTTCATCAGAGCAGGTATTAAAATCAGGGAAGAGAAGTGTCAATTTTATATCACATGTAGCTGCCAACAACTGAAGCATGTCTGCACAGCCTCTGGCCTGTGCTAGGGAGTGCTATAATAAAATGGATGTAATGTGTTGGTGCATGCTCATCACCACTCTGGCAGCTATGTTACATCTATTTCAATATGTAATGTGGCATCCTCACTCAGTGTACATTGTGCTTCACTGCAGTGGTCCAGATGCATTGTGGACATGCCCTCAGTTGTTTCAATAGAGAATTCTTCACCTAAACCAGTATCTGGAGATAGCCCCAGGGTTTGATGTCTTTTGTGGGAAATTCTGGATTCGTTTTTTACAGCAGCTTTGAAAGCTCCACTCTTTTACTAGATCCCAAATACATTCTCTGCTCCTTTGTATTGTGATATTGTGGCAATGCCCATTGTTGGTCAGAATGATACTGCATTGCAAAAAGATATTGTGTATCAACCTTGTGCATACCAGCTAGATGCTGCAGGACGGATCAATTTGGATACTTAGTTGAACCTTAGAAGTCTCCCATGAGGACCTGCACTCCTTCCCATGGCCCCCCTGACCAGCACTGGTTTCCCCTTACCTGCTGTCACCTGCTTGGATGAAGAAGTGATATATTGCTGATCTACCACCAAAAGGCAGGCTCCCCCCTTCTGACTTTGGGAGCTTCTAACTCCTTTCTCTCATATTCTGCCCCAGAAGCCTTTGTTTGGTGTGAAAGTGCTTGGTCCACTTACATGCAATTCCGAGCAGCCAGGTCCCTGTGTATAAAGTTTTTTGAGCTCAAGTACTCCATACCACTGGCAATATCAATCATGAACTTGAGTAATGTTTGAAGAGGCAAATTCTGAAAGAAAGCAACAGTTCAAGACTGAATACTGGAATATTCAAGACACTAAGCACTGACCCCTGGCACACACCTGCTGGTTCATACTAAGGGCAGTGAGAAGCTGGTTCCCACCAGATTACATACAGTCATTTCAAAACTGCATTGGCCTGGAGTCTCCTGGACACTTTGAGACAATCTGAATTTCACATCCCAGAACCTACACCATCACCAGAGAAATGTACAAAGAGAAAAAGACTTACAAAAGGATTTTCTCCAATCCGCGACATCAGCAGAAAAGCGTGAAGGTCTCCATGCTTCATGAAGGGCAGGATCACCATAGGTATTGGGAGACGGCCCTTGGGACGACTCCGCAAGCTGACACCTAGGGTAAGAATATGCACAGAAAGAGTATTTTTCAACTAGATTGATACTGGGGGTGAACCTGTTGCTCCCTTCATCCACCCATTTATAGGAAACATGATCACTTGTAATTTTGGAGGGTTGTACTCTGTGTCAAGCCCACTTTCAAGGCCCAACCCCATGGGACATGCAAAAAACTCTAACTCCCAACAGCACCTCTCATGAAGGGCTTAGCTTCTTGCTGGGCTGGGCTCTGAAGTTTCTAAGATCCCTCTAAAGAGGTTTCACCTGCCCCATATTAATCAGAATGGTTTCATTTCTGAGGTTGCTCCATGTTTCCCACTGTTTTACAGCAAAGCAGTAATTGTTCTACTGTCTTCTCTGCAGGGCCAAGGGGCTTTAAAACAAAGGAGGAAGGGTTTCTTCTCTGCTATTCTTTTATTAACCCATCCACTGCATCTCTTTGTTTCACCACAGTTTGGCCATTTCTCAGATGTACCATTTGTGCTCATAGTTGTTTAATACATTTGCAAAAGCCAATAAGGGCTAGATAAATGGTTTAAACAAGAAAAGGAAATTACAGATACATACACGCACATTTTTAATGTATCTATGTAAATACACACACACACACTTCAGCTCCTTCCAAGTCTGGAAAGGAGCAACATCCATGTCATTTGGAAGGCCGTGGGCTTAAGAGTTGATGCTTGCCACCCTAGAGGTGGCTGCTATTCAGTGCCTTGGGACCATATATATAGTTTGTGAAGGAATTAGGGATTCCTTACTCTGGAAGGTACTCTACTGTGACTCTTGTGGAACAGTACCGCTAGCTCACCAATCAATTTAGTAACATGAGGGTGGTCAAACTCCTTCATGCAGGCAGCTTCTCGCAGGAACTCCTCAATGTCACTTGAGGTGAAGATGTCCGCTGAAAAGAAGCCACATTAGAATTGGTTCATCAGTGCCTCAGAGTCTCCTGATTATTGGAAGCTTGCCTCGTGAGGCATTACACATTGTCTCAGGCTAGATCAACCATTTCCCAAACAATCATATCCTGCCTCATTCATCTGGGGCGGATAAAAGTTGGAAGAAGGAGATAGCCTTATATATCCACCAGGGACATCTGGTAAATTGCTTCTTGGCAGAAAGAGGGCCTGTCGATTAGCAGCAATTTTTTAAGCAACAGCTTTCCTTGGAAGCCATGGAAATCACACATGGGTTAAAAATGTAAGACTTAACTAGCTAAAAGAAACTAAATTTAATCAGGGATCCTTGTTTTCTCTGATTAAAAAAAAATTACAAATTCTCTGATTTAAAAAAAATGCAAATTCTCTGATTAAAACCCCAAAATCCATGATTAAAATAAAAGGCCACAAAACACACACACACACACACACACACACACACACACACACACACACACACACACACACACACATATACATATACACATGTATACACACACATATACACACACACACACAAATACACACACACACACACACATATGTGTGTGTGTGTGTATGTATGTATGTATGTATTAGTTGAAAACAATGTTTTATTGATAAATTTACAGTTTTAAAGCAATTTGGAAGCCTATCAGTGTTTCAATCACTATAGTAAAATAAATTCTAAATACCTATATATTTTGGCATTTGATTTTGGGTTTTTCATCATGGAAAATCAGAGCTTCTGCTGAGGCCAATCTGTACACCCCAGAAAAATGTACAGAAAAATTCAAAATTATGTGCAGGAAAACTCAAAATTATGCAAATTAATTATGATGATGATGATTATTATTTTTATTTTTACAAATTAAACTAAATATAACACTATTTTGATCTTCTTTAGAAATATATGCAGGTACCTTGTATGGTTGGGGGTGTGTGGGGTGGGGGTTGAGGGTCTGGGGAGAGTGTGGGGTTTGTGTGGGGTGTAAGTATGGGAGTATGTGGGGTTTGTGGGCGAATGTGAGGTTTATGGGAGGGTTGTGAAGGGGTGTGAGCGTGTGAGTGGGGGCATGGGTATGAGAGTATGTGGGGAGGTGTGGGGCTTATGGGGGAGTTGTAAAGGGGTGTGTGTGTGTGTGTGTGTGTGTGTGTGTGTGTGTGTGTGGGTTT